AAGTAACGTTTTACACTTTGAAGGTGCCAAACGCATACCGAACATGGTTACACTAGTACTCAAACTACCCAGAAAAGCATGCAACTTACCTGAATCTTCACCTAGTAGCATAATGTCGTCTGCATACTCTAGATCAGACAGTCTGCCACCTGGGAGTAAATCGATACCGCTATCCTCGTACGGGGATAGGGCTGTTTCCATAATTAGATCTACAACAAAGTTAAATATAAAAGGAGAGAGGGCAACCCTGTCGAACACCACTTTCCGTGGTGAACTCGGGCGAAAAGTGCCGTAAGCTCGGACTTGACTTGGGCTTTTAGTATAAAAGGATTGTGATATTGAAATAAACTTCTCGGGCAATCCCTTCAGGGAAAGGTAGAGCCAGAGTTTAGAGCGGTCGACTGATTCGAAAGCCGCTTCAGATCGAGGAAGACAGAGATGGTGGATCTACGAAAGGAATGTCGGTGCTCCAGAGTTTGGCGAAGAGTGAAGATGTGGTCGATACAACCTCGATCAGGTCTAAAACCAGCCTGATTCTCACGCGTACACCGTTCACATGCAGCAGACAATCGACGGAGTATGATCCCGGCGAGAAGTTTAGAGGCAATGTTAAGTAAACTAATTCCTCTGTGGTTTTCAAAGGGGGATCTGTCACCTTTCTTCTATGTAAATCAGTATGATCACCGATTCACACTATTCAGTTGGAACCTGTTTCTTTTCCCACACTGAATCCAGGAGTTCTGTTACCTTCAAAATCAAGCCTAGACCTCCATCCTTAAAACCGGATAGGGACAGCCCGTCGGGGCCAGAAGCCTTATGCCGTTTGAGATAACTTTTTTCCCGAGTAATCTCCATTTCAGATGGAGGAACGATGTCAACTAACAGTATTTGCACAGTTGAAGCGGGTAGGAGGTCTTGTGTCGACGGGGACCAGCTGAATTGTGCCCAACGTTCAAGACGGCGTTGCTGAATTTGAATCAGTGTGCCGTCAGACTCCTTAATTACCTCACGCCTACTTTCCTTGGTCCTGTACTCCTAATTAAAAGAAAAAGATTGCGGTTATTACCAATAGCCGCAGCCTTCTCCATCTCTCTACACTTCCCTACGCACCACTTCTTCCGGTCATTCATCAGGCTCTTGATAAGCTGGCGTTTAAGGGATTTGCGCGTTTTGTCGTATTCTGAATCTAAAGGAATGGCTTTGCGAGCGTCCAATAAGGCAACCGAGGTCGGGGAGATCCATCATTTTTATTTGATCGTGCGCCAGAATTTGCCGTTGTTTCAATTGACGTTCGAATCGCTTCCTTGATTGTCGTCCAGTGCTCACTGAGTCTTCCGGCTGATTGTTGAGCTGAGAGACGATCTGAAAATTCCGCTTCGAGGCCGATTTGCAACCGTCGCTGATACTGTATTGTGGGCATCGGTTTTCGTTGGCTTTTCTGCGTTTGTTTACTAGGCGAAGAGAGAATCTCGCTTGTAGCAGAGCATGGTCCGTGTCCACGGGTGTTGAACAGTAGGAGCGGCAGTCTTCAATGGATCCTCACCAGCGGTGGCTGATGGCAATGTGGTCGATTTGAGTCCAGCGCTGTGAAGCGGTTGGCGGTCTCCATGTAAGACGGTGGCGTTTTTTGTGCGAGAAGTTCGTGCTTGACAGAAAAAGTCCGTGGTCAGCACAAAGTTGGAGTAGTTGGTCTCCGTTGTCAGTCCTGTTGGCTGGGATTGCATGTGAACCTCCAAGTAACCTCTCTGATTCGTCCAGGGATCCGACTTGAGCATTGAAGTCTCCAGCGACCACCACGATGTCCGTTAACCGAGCACTTCGGAGCAGTTGAGAGAGGTCCTTGTAGAATTCATCCTTCACTTCTGGTGAACTGCAATCTGTCGGTGCATATACGGATACGACGAATAAACATCGATGTTTCGTTCAGTAGCTGTTGTCCCGTACTGAACTATCCAGGTGTACGGCGCAAAATCGGCTGCTAACCGGGACTCAGTCGAGAAGTGAACGCTCGGTCTTGACACTCAGCGCAGTCCCAACACCAGCAACACCGTGAGCTTCGGATGACGAATCGCCTGACACACGGAGTGTAAAGTGTGAAGATGAGGTTGGATGTGGAAAACGCAAGATGATTGAAGTAGGGTCTTGTATGCGTGTTTCGGAGACACAGCATACATCTAAATCTGATAGCCTCTGAGTGGTTTGTCTCATTAGTTGAACACTGAGTGGTATCCGATGGGTTGCGCAAACAGGATGCATCTCTTAAGGTATGGTAGTGAGAATAGGAAATAGACTGTTGAGAAAGACAGTTGTCCAAATGGGTACCTAAGACTTTTGGGCACGGTAAACTTCGCGGTTGCCTACACCGACGAAGGGGTTTTTCTTTGGAACCCTCAACCGGAGCCTTCGAAAGTCTGACCCACAAGGCAGTGGGGCGTAAATCCAACGCGGAAGCGTGAACGAAGCACCCGTGTGGGACCTCCTATAGACCTGTCGTGCAAGGCCTATGAATTTCGAATAATTGTGTTGTTCGCTGGTGCGTTGATTGTCGGTCCGCTTTTCGGGATCGGCCCTCAGCCTCATGCACCCAATGAGACATGCGGAACGTGGACGGGACAGTACCTTATTGGTTGGGGGTTGGCCAGCTTGGCCGGGCGGTCGCTGTCCAATGAAGTGCGAAGACTTCTCCCACCGTCGAGAGGAAGCCCCAGGTACCCCGCTCCTATGTTTATTTGNAAAACGCAAGATGATTGAAGTAGGGTCTTGTATGCGTGTTTCGGAGACACAGCATACATCTAAATGGAAGGTTTCAAGGGTTCTAGCTAAGGCAGCTTGTTGACCGATCTGGCAGAGTGTGCGGACATTGAGTGCAGCTAAGTGAAAAACAGATTTGGGTTTCAAAAATTTGGTAGCCTCTGAGTGGTTTCCCTTATTAGTTGAACGCTGAGAGATATCTGTTGGATCTCGTAAACAGGAGGCGCAGTGAGGCTTACTGATGATATGGGACAAACTCACAACTGATTGATCATTGTCGCTCTGTGGGAGGAAGTGAACACGTGAAGGCAGAAAGATGAGGCCCCAATGGAGGATTGTCTGCCTTCAAGATGGCACTGCACTGTTAGATATACCCTCGGGTTAAGCAGAGTTGAATGCCACCAGGCGCGTCCCCGGGTTGTGGATAGGGGAGATACCTTCACAGAAGGTTATCTGTGAATAAGCTGTGGCATATCGCAACAAATAAGCACTATCAGGGTGTGGTGAGTTTCAGGCTGGTCACCTGGCTCCTGTTTAAAAGCCGCATAAGCCCAGTGACGGTGTCGTAACAACGGTCGACGTGACTGGCCTTTACAAACTAAAGCCATTGACCCCCTCACTTCTGAGGCGAGGGATTACTTCCTGCTGCCCTGCAGTTCGCACTTGGTTGTACAAAGACTAAAGGTGCGCACTCAGAATAAAAACGCCGAGTGCCGCTGAGGACGTCTCTCGCACTAACTCCTAACTAACTTCATGATCATGTCTTTTACGGCGGCAATTAGAGACATTCATGTCTTTTCAAAGGAGCCAGTGGCAATAAAGTAAAGTTAGAGATATAGTAAAACGCATGCAAAATCCTATAGGTATAAACGCTTGTATAAGAGCTTTATAGATTTGTTGTCAACCGCCCTGCAAGCTCATGATCACTGAACGGTAGTTGTAAGTTGAGTATTCTTTGATAGGCTTTTGCACTCAAGTGCTCCGAGAACAAATTTCGCGTTCAAATGGGAGTAGGGATCTGACCAGTTCCCTCCTCAGTTTCAGAGTTATGAGTCTGCAGAAGTTTGCGTAATGATTGACAGGAGTGAAAATCGGTTACAACAAGAACGCAAACGATTATGATGAGAAGACAACTTCTAATTTCCTATCGTATATTTTCGGGGAGTGGTAACATGTACTTGATCATGCCGTTTAGCTTAACACAATAATAATCTTGCTTTCTAACTGCACGTATATGGGTTTATACAATCAAAGTTGTCAATGCGGAAATTCCAGTCGTGGCTAACTGTTCCTTGTGTTTATTCTCAGGTGGAATTATAGATAATAAGACAATTACGAATTCAAGCCACAAATGTTGATGCTTCATTTGCACAAGCCATAAATGTACAAAGGACAGGAACACCAGTAGGAAACTGCAAACACAGAGGAAACCGGTAAAACAGTTGGGAGCTCATACCCTTGGATCCAGATTGTGCCATAACCAAAGGAGAGTTGGATGGGTGCAGCTCTCGTTTACATGCAGCGCCAGCTTCGTCCCGAATCTTGGACAATTCTTGACTGAGATTCGACTGTGAAAGAAGAAAAAAAATTTTCGAACGGATAAATCGGAGGGTATCGAAGGGTAGTGTTGATAAAGTGATAGTATGTGTTCCGTGGGATGCACGTTGAGTTAAAACTCACTTCGAGTGTATCTTCCATGCTACAGCCTGGATTACATTTGAGAGTGTTCGTCGCGTACTGTTTAATATATTCATCACAAGTGGCAAACCTGGAATGAAGCGGTGAAAAAACCCTGATAAAACACCACGTATCAAAGAAGGCGTCTCACATAGAACAAACATTTCCTCCAAATCTTTGAGATGGTTGTCGTGCGTGATAAAATAATTTGAGCGAAAACCATAAACAAGTTCGATGTTACCTACCCGGAATCGATAAGTTTCGTCTTGGCTTTTATAAGGCGATCACTTGGCATAACTTCACCAATGCCAATGGAGAAACCGCGGTGAGCAAGATAAAACAGAGCTATGCGGCCTAGGCGCCACATAGCATCAGCACACACCTCACTTCCATAATCCCGTAACAGACTGTAGAAAATGCTGGATTTACTTCCTCCACCAAGAAGCTTTTTGTCAACGCAACCGGCCAATAATTCGCTGTTGTGAATCACAACGTCTGAACAGAAATACAATGGGCAAGATGATTAGTATACCACAGGTCTAAAGCGATGAACGATCTAAATAAGACAACAAGTAATCAGTGGACAAATGTGAAGTGAAGGGCTTCTTGAATTATTTGGAAAGCTTGTCAGTGTACAAAACTAAAAACAAAAATAAGGAACGTGGTGGATATTTAATGGAGCACATGGTAAGTCCAAGCGCGAAATGTTCCTATACGACCAAGCGTCTCGAATAACCTCTGCTGGGGAAGCCCTACTCACTGCCTTCATACGACGGAAGTGATTTTTCCCATCAAATTGAGGACGAAAAGCCAACATCCGGGGGTATAACTGAATCGATGAACCACTGGCAGTTCACCGAGGGAAGAATGTTAAAAACCCTGATTCCAAACAAACAAACCACACACCATCCTGGTTGTAGCAGTGGTCACCGGCTCGATTGGGCATCAAGGTATATTGGGCACTTTGGACGTTTGACCCCGTTCAAAGGGCGTATAATCCGATGAACTGGACACCGGTCTCGAGTGGATGGCGGTTTTCACACACCGCCCCGTTACCTTACGGATGAGGTTTTGGCAAGCCGAAGGCTGCAGTTGTCTCCAATAAAATTCACCTGCCTTGACCTCGCAGTAACCCGCCCACATCTAAATCATGGAACTTTTTCCTTTTTTATAAAGATCATTGCACCGTAATTTGTTTCGCACATTGTCTGAACTCAGGCGTGCGTGAAAATAAAATTAGACTTTTACATGGAGAGATGTACGCTTTTCAGACTGATCTCCTGTCTAAGATTCACTTCTTTCAACTGTATATACAAGTCTATTACTAATAAGCGCCCATCCAATTACGCATCATTTATTCATGAACTGCCTTAAACTCCCATCATCCAAGTTTTGTTTCACAACGATCCAGGTTAAATGGGCTCTCATGTAAGCAATTTTCATGGCTTCAAATCTCAACACGCAATAACACGCAATAACAAATAGTGGATCTACTAGGTGTAACCAAACTAACCGCTCTGATTAACTTCAAAGCTGCTTAAAAAAGGTCGAAAGCCGATTTAACTACTTGGTTCGCCCTATACCCCAAATCGACCTCAATAGGCTAACATATTTCTGCGACATTACGATGAAGCGAATCGCATAGGGCCTGTTGTCAACTGAGCTTAACGCCCCTTTTGGGCAAGAGAACACAGCTGTCGTTGCTCCACAGTATCTGTAGTACGTGACTGCAGTATCTGATATAAGGTAAGAACTCGACCGATACAAACAAGACCTGGAGGGAACTCGGTTAGCATCACACAGAGGTATTAGAGAATGCCAAACTTAGGAAACTATCGTAACCAAAACTTATTGCAAGGTAGTTTGCACAGTATCATTGTATACCAGGCATCCTGATCCGGCGATTTATTCTCCGAACAACAGACTCAGTTTCAATTTCTACAACTACTAACCATGCACTACTGTGCTTCGGTTATGACTACTGTCCTTTGCTTATCCGTTTGGATGAACATAAGGAGAAAGACAGGGAAGGTTGAAAGTAGGATCAAAGAGAAAATTCAGGATTTCACTGCACTAATTTTGCAGCGAAATCGACAAGACGCATGAACGCCACTGTTTACGACACCCAGCCATTTCATTCAGTGTCTCTAACCATCGGTGACCA